TTTTCTCGTCTTGTCGGTAGTCAGTAGTATTTTTCGCCCTTTGTCGCTAGTCGGTTAACCCCATTCAGACCCTCTTCTCACTGGGATATGTTCTTCCAAAATCTTTCCCGGGAGCTTTTTAATTCTTCCAATAGTCGCCTCGATGTTGGTGAAGTTAAAACGGAATCTGTGAGAGCGTTGTCGAGATATTTTGGGATAGAGTTTTTATCATTAGAAATACGGTAAAAAATCTTGATGTTTGGCCGTTATCTGTAGAAAACGAAGTGCTTTTGACACGCAGTTTCATCTCATAGTAGTTTCAATCTTTTTAAAAACGTGTGTGAAAGGACTGAGAGATCACGGAGATAGCTCTGGCCAATTGCTACAAAGAAAGATTTGATCAGTATGTATTATGGCGCTCTTGTTAGCGGTTTTGTAAACATTTCGGTCTACTTTAAAAAATTAGTCCAAACTGAGAACTAGTCAGCTACTTCTTCACTTTCAGACCCATTGCTGATGCTATCTACCGTACACTGTTCTACGAGCGGAGATGATTTTAGAAAGTAAGTTTAGGCGGAAGTTTATTCCACTCAATTCACGACTGGAAATAGCCCATTGCAGTACAGTGCCCAATTACGATAAAAAAAATCAGCATATGATGCCCTTCCCTTATAACCAGAAACTCATCACGTGCTAGGCAACCACTGTCTCGTGTGAATATAACTGGATTATTACGCCGACTTCAGGTCAAAATACAAAACATTTATCTCTTCAAAATAATAATAACAAAAACATGGAAACGTCTTTAGAAACTGGCTTTGCCCAAATTTTCTCTTGCTGCCCAAAAAATCTGAGTTGCCCAAATATTGGGGGGGCTGCCGCCCCCCTCACCCCCCCGGCCCGTACGCCTATGCTTGTCTGGCAGCATGGCCTTCACCTTCTCAAGCTCTTAATAATAATAATAATAATAATAATAATAATAATAATAATAATAATAATAATAATAATAATAATTGGGAGGTGTGCAAGGAATATGGAGTTGAGTGCAGTGACAAATGGTATGAGTATTCCCCCAAAAGCCTAGAAGAGAGTGAGGAGGTTAAACTGTTGTGGGACTTTACCATCCAAACGGACCGTGAAATCCATCACAGGAGGCCAGACATTGTAATTCAGAAAAAGAAGGCAAAGGAAACAATCATTGTGGACATAGCTGTTCCCGGAGATAGTAATATACTGCAGAAAGAAACTGAAAAGTGTGAAAAGTACCAAGACCTGGCAAGAGAGATTCAAAGGATCTGGAAATCAAGGACAAAAGTGGTGCCAGTGGTTGTAGGTGCATTGGGTTCAGTGTCAAAGAAGCAGGCAGGCCACTTGGAGCAACTAGGAATTAAAAACCGAACAAGAACGATGCAAAAGTCGACACTCCTCGGATCGCCCATATCCTCAGAAAGGTGCTGGAAGTCTGAGGTCTCGGGATGAGACTTGACTGGATATTTCTCCCCAGGGAAAATCCCTGTGCTAAATTTTACATAATAATAATAATAACAATAATAATTGTCAGCGAACAAGCCTGATATAGTGATCAAGGACCATGCCAACCGGTATTGCATAGATGTATCGGTACCATCCGACCGAAACACCTCGCCGAAAGTCATTTAAAAGCCCTCAAAATACAAAGATCTTGAGATTGAAACCACGAGAAGTGGGGAATGAGGACAGAGACTACGCCGGTTATTGTTGGTGCGCTGGGACTTAGAAAGGGAATGGACCAGAATTTAGGAAAGATCCCTGGAGCCAGTAACATTAATGAGCTGCAAAATATCATTCTCCTAGGAACAGCGTACATACTGAGAAGGTTTCTGTCCATCAAACAAAAAACTCCCCTGGTACTTCAGGGCCAAGGAATGGCCCCGGCTCTAGGCGAGTGTAGGAAGCAATTAATAAAATTAATAAAACGTCTACAATAATAACAATAATATTAATATTAAGTAATAGGTGGAACACTACAATTGCGGTTAAGACGAAGCAAGGGATGAAATGACAGAAATGATACCTTTCAAGACGCAAGGTGATTCCTTTTGTCCAAGGCTCTTCACCTTATGCCTAAATCCTATAGCGTGGAAGCTCAAAGCAACCGAAGGGTACAAGTTGTCACAACCGATTAGTCTGAGGATAACAGATCTGTTGTTTATTGATGATTTGAAGGTACTTGCAGCATCGGAAAGAAAGCTACGGCTGTTAAGGATGACATGGAATGTGTGCGTTTAAAGTGGAAAGGGAAGAAGTGCGCGGTTGCACATGTGAACAGAGGGTGTTTGATTCAAGGTGCGGAGGATTTGAAAATGCTAAAGTGATTAGTAGTTTGGAAGAAGGTGGCTCTTACAAGTTTCTAGGAGTATTGGAAACTGAAACAAGAAGACAGAATTGTTCTTCAAAATGCAGCGAAGTTGTACTTGCAAAGGTTATCTATTATCTGGTCTAACCCGCTGTCAGACTACCACAAAGTTGCTGCGTCGAACCAGTATGTTTTACCAGTTCTAACGTACTTCATGTGGACCCAGACATGGCCACTTGCCGACTTACAGCAGATGGTTAGAGAAGCGCGTAAAGTTGTCGTGGAGAATGGTGAGAATCACCCCGTGGGATCGGTAGCACAACTTTACATTTCAAGAAAGAACGGTGGAAGAGGCCCTAGATCAGTTGAAGCGGAGTATAAAAGAACGAAGATCAAAGCGGTTGTAAAGTTATTTGAAAACTCTGATACGACCATGAGCGCCGTGAGGAAGTTTGAAGAGAAGGCAGTGCAGACCGGGTGTCACGCAATCATCAGAGATGCTGAAAAATACTGTAAAATTCCGAAAATAAGCCCCGGGGCTTATATTTTTCAAAGGCCCTTTTTGAGGGGCTTATTTTTGGAGAAGCTTATCTAAGGAGGGGAATTTGTATTTACAAATCGACTACGCTAGCCTTATAGTTCGAGGTAAATTTACCGTTTTTGCTTTGTTTTACTTTGTATTTGAGGGCAATTTTCCGAGTACAAGCCCCTAGGGGGCTTATATTTGAAGGGGCGATTTAACGCAGGGTTTTTTTTTGCGTCACCAGTTTGGGGGGCTTATATTTGGAGGGCCTTATACATGGAGGGGCTTATTTTCGGAATTTTACGGTATGCCTCAGAGCTACAATTAACTCTGACTTTACAGAATCCTAATCCAAGGGCTACTACAGAAGATGGAGACGAAATAGGAGGAAAAAAGCTCCACTCTCGCCAAGGCACAACAGAAAGCTTATTGTGACACACTGGGAGAAAAGAAATGGAAAGGGAAACTGACTAAAAGTAGATGGGAGGACTCGGCCTTAGACACTGGAGGATGTTTTGCATGGATGACTGAATAGCTGGAATTCGCTACCAACCCCATACCGTAGCCGCAATGCAGGAACTGTACCAACAGATGTTACCAACCAAATTATACCAACACAGGAAAACTGGAAAGGGAGTGGAACTTCAAATGTCATGTGCCAAAAGTGTGGTACATCGCCCGAAAGCGTGCCGCACGTATTGGCGGGGTGTGGGACAATCGCTCAGACTAGTATCTCGCGAGGCACAACGCAGCTCTTATGATCTTGTTCTTTAAGATGCTGAAGGACCTGGAACTTATTTTAGAATTGCCTCCATGGCACTCCAAGACCCAACCCAAACCGTTGTATGAGAATGGGAGTGCGCAAGCATTATGGGATGTACCGGTTTATGCAGACAGCACTGAGGTGAGGGCCAACAGAATCGACGCCAGAATAGTCGACAAAGAGCAGAAAAGAGTGTTGAAATAAGCTGTTCTTGGTTGGATAACCGCGAAGTGGAAGAGATGCAGAAGACACAGCGCCAAGCGCGGTCATTGCACGCGTGCTGAACAAGAATGCTGTATAATGACAGACTAGAAACAATAGACAACTCCCAAAGCACAAACTCAGCCAAAACGATAAAAATCTTCAATGTTTACTCAAGTTTGGGCTTATAGAAGGTAATGGCACAGTTTTTCAATGACGATGAAATTCAGAGTCCGGGTAGTTAGTTAATCAATTGTGGCCCTGAAAAAATTTGAAGGAAAAAAAACTACGAATTTTTAAGAAAATGCTTTTTTCGTGAGATTGACTCTTAAACGCTGACAAATGTCAACAAATAGCGAAAACTATAATTTCTATATGTTTGCTTTGCTCGAAATCGCGCGCATTTACAAGGCCCTAAAGCGTTTTGCTGACTTGCAAGGACCCATCTGTTATAACGATGCCCAAAATACAGAGATGAATCTCATAGTTTATTAGATATAATGACCTAAATTTGGAAACCGCTGAATTTCTCGAATTGGGTCTTTGCGATTTTGGTGAAACTCTGTTCAGCGCAAGGCACTAATGCGCACTATGTGTAGCCGAGAGATTTTCACGAAAAAATGCCGGCAACAGCAGATTTTCGACTCAGACCTCAAAGGGGCGTGGCATTATAACCACGTGACATTTACTCCGATCGCCAAAAATTTTATGTTATATTGTAGATTGATCTATATGTTATCCATTCTACGTGTTAGACTTACGATAAAAGTAAAGGTGGGGATACCAGAGAGCTTCAAAGTAGGATGGTACTCCCCAAAAAAACTGGGTCGAGTCACCTTAAGACTTACAGCTATCGAAGACAACACTAAAATCCGCGAAGAACGAATTCTTAATCTGGAGGCTAGACTTGACGAAGCCCAAGTTGAAATACAAGCCTTAAAGAAACAACTACGTGAAGTCGATAAGACAGTGAACAACACTAAAGATTCCCTTGAGTTCATCCAAGGTGAGCATGACGACCTTGTGGAACGCGTCGCGAACTGCGAAAACGAGCAGTCAACTTGTTGGGATGAGCTGACTCATTTAAACATCTATAGTCGTCGATGGAATCTAATTTTCTACAGAGTCAATGAGTCCAAAGACGAGGATTGCTTCTCACTGGTACGTGACGTCTTAACCCGAAATTTAAACCTACCACAAGACGAAGTCTCGAATATGAAGCTTTGCGGGGCACACCGTTTTGGCAAGCCAAACAGAAACAGAGCCCGACCTCTCATTGCTCGCTTCACGTTTCGTGCTGACAGAGATCGTGTCTGGAAAGCTCGCTACAGGCTGAAAAACTCGCGTATTTCAATGGGTGAAGACCTACCGAAGCACATACAAGAAATCAGGAAAAACGTCCTTATCCCTGCGATGAAGAAGATAAAACAAGAAACACCTAGCCACAAAGCTTCCGTCATAGGAGATAAGTTAGCTGTTAATGGAAAAGTTTATTTTGATCATGACGTGCCGAAGAAATGGCTTCCTGTCAACTCTTCAGTGAATACCCATGAGGATTATGGCAATGGTACAGCCGAACATCAAGAACCACTGCAAAGTCAAGAAGAATCCTCTGATGCTATGGTCCAATCCCAAGAACTGCTTAGTCAAAGCCAATAGGTGACGCTTTTTCTGTAAGTTCAATCCTTTCACAAAACTTTAAAATCGACTCTTAGTTGAAAACCAGTTTTATTTTTACTCCGTTGCTTCTTGCCTTTAAAATCATGCTCTAGTTTTGTGTTTCCAAATACGAGGACTTAATTTCGACCCTGAGATGGAACTCGCTATTTTCATGCTTCCCTTACGGTAACCAAATTTTCACTTGCACCTTTCAAAATGGCAAATCCGTTTATTTTACATTCAGAGTCAAAGTCGTTGTTATTGCGGATGCTTTCTACGTCCCTTGTTATGCTACCCCCTCAAGTACGCCAAACCACTTTCGTGTGGTGCGTTCGAAGGCCTTTTTCAGCGCCTATTTTATTTTTCTGTTTATGTTTCTTAAGTAATGTTTGTCTAAGTCCTTTGATAATTTATTTTATTTCTACTAGTAGTTTGAACACTTTAATCACCAAAACACTGTATTCACATTCACACTTCGGCCAAAAGGCAGCTGTCAAAGTCCGCCGTTGCCAGCGCCATTTTCTGGCTTTTTCCCTTTGTCCGGTAGACGCCTTTAAAACCTAGTTTTGATGTTAAATTCCAGTCCTTAAACGTAAGAGGATTGAATAAGTCAATCAAACGTCGATCAATCTTCCGTTGGTTACATAATCAAAAATTCCATTTCACATTCTTACAAGAAACCTACAGCTCTAAAGAATGTGCCCAAATTTGGGAAGCTGAATGGAGTGGGAAGGTTTATTTTAGTCACGGCAGTTCACACAGCAAAGGCGTCATGACTCTCGTTAATCCGAACTTGGATGTCAAGGTCGAAAAATGCATCCAAGACACGAATGGCAGGTTTCTTATACTTGACCTATTAATTGATGAGTTGCATCTAATTCTAGTGAATATTTATGCCCCGAATGACGCGAATCAGCAAGTCACGTTTTTTAAAGAGCTCAAAAATCAGCTTGAAGATTTTGCCCAAGAGAATATTATTATTGCAGGTGACTTCAACTGCGCTCTTTCTGAAAATGACAAAAAAGGTGGAAATCCAGTTTGGAAAAAATCCATAGTGATTAAAGAAGTTCAGCATCTTGCGAACCTCTATAATTTAACAGACGTTTGGCGCGATCGCAATCCGAACGACAACCGCTTCACTTGGAGAAACAAATCGCTAAAATCCAATGCCGACTAGACTTCTTTTTAATTTCAAAAGAACTCAGCAGTGACACACATGCTTGCAATATAATTAACGCCCCCGGAAAATGATCACTCGGCTGTCACTTTACATCTTAAGACAGAAGATTTACTGCAACCTAAAGCTCCTGGTTTTTGGAAATTTAATAATTCTCTACTAGACGACGAAGACTTCACTTCCGCAATCCGTGAAAGTCTACCGGATTTCAAAGATAAATATGCTGACCTGGATGACTTAGGCCTAAAATGGGACTTAATTAAAATGGAAATTCGCGGATTCACAATCAAGTATTCAAAAATCAAAGCTAAGAACAAGAGGAATGAAGAGGCTGCCCTTCAAAATAAAGTTAATGAACTTATGCAAAAGTGTGAACAAAACCCCAGCGACAAAAGAATATTGAACGAGCTTTACGCGACAAAATTGCGCCTTCAAACGATCATGCGACAAAAAACAAAAGGCGCCATTCTTAGGAGCAAAGCTCGGTGGCATGAGTTTGGTGAGCGAAATTCCAAATACTTCCTCAACCTGGAAAAACGAAATCATTTTAAAAAAACAGTCACAAGGCTCAAACTTCGTAACAATCAGGTAACTTGTGATCAGTTTGAGATACTACAAGAACAAAAAAATTTTTATGAAACTCTTTACAAGTCGCAAAATTCCCAGGATAATCTGCCTGAATCTGATTTATTCAATTTAGAGAATATTGATCCGCTAGATGAAAACGAACAAATACTGTGTGAAGGCATGATTTCAAAAGAAGAATGCTTAACTGCCTTAAAAAAATTTAAAAACAATAAAACGCCAGGAACTGATGGTTTTTCTGCAGAATTCTACAAATTCTTCTGGAGTGACCTTGGCACTGAGATGACTGCCAGTTTTAATTATGCTTTCCAAAAAGGTTCACCATCTATCAGCCAAAAGCGCGGAATTATTTCACTCATCCCCAAAAAGAACAAAGACAAAACTTTACTTGAAAACCTGCGACCCATATCTCTACTAAACGTTGATTACAAAATTCTGACAAAATCTATTGCAAAAAGACTAGAAAAAGTCCTTCCTAAAATCATAAACTCTGACCAAACTGGTTACATTAAAGGACGCTTTATCGGTGAAAACGTTAGACTAATTCAAGATGTAATGTCTCACACTAAGCAGAAAGAAAAACCCGGTATTGCCATATTTCTTGACTTTCGAAAAGCGTTTGATACAATAGAATGGAACCACTTAAGAGCCGCTTTACAAACGTTTAATTTTGGCCCTGACATACTCAACTGGTTTCAAGTTATTTACAACCAAGCATCGAGCTGTGTACTGCACAATGGTCATGCATCGGACTTCTTCCTTCTCGAGCGAGGTGTGCGACAAGGTTGCCCACTGTCTGGCCTCCTTTTCGTCTTTGGAATCGAACTCTTAGCTAGAGTACTTAAGAAAAACCATACTATTAAAGGCACCCAAGTCGGTAGAAGGAAATTAAGATAACTCAATACGCAGACGATACCACCGTTTTGGTGCGAGATCTTGATTCTGTCACACAATTACTAAAACATTTAGACAAATTCAAGCAGATCAGTGGTCTCGAAATTAACACAAACAAAACCGAAGCGTTGTGTTTAGGATGTTGGAGGTCGCGTAAAGACAAGCCGTTTGGTTTTAAATGGCCCCAAGAACCATGCAGTCTATGCCCTTGGTATACACTTTTCCTATGACTTAAAGCAAGCCAACACCCTTAACTTTGAAGAAAAGGTTTGTTCTTCAGAAAAAACACTCAACAACTGGAAAAAAAGAAAGCTAACTTTAATTGGCAAAATCAATATTGTCAAGACATTAGGTTTGTCGAAACTCATATATTGCAGTTCGTTACTGGCCGTATCTAAATCCCTTATAGACAGAATTAATAAGATTATTTTCAGCTTCATTTGGGACGGTAAGCCTCCCAAAATTAAGAAAAAGACTATCATTGATGAAAAACACTGTGGGGGCCTAAAAATGATTGACTTTGAAATCATGGAGCGGTCGCTAAAAATTGCTTGGATAAAGCGTATTGCTGAATCAAGTAATGCATCGTGGAAAAAAATCCCAAATCAAGCTCTTAACTAATACGGAGGTCTAGAGTTCCTCATCGAATGCGACTACGATCCTAATCTACTCAACTTAGAGAACCTTCCGGAGTTTTACCACACCATTTTAAATTACTGGCATGACTTCAGAAGACTGACCTGTGACAAGCAAATTTCCATAAAAAAACAAATAATTTGGAATAACCGTAACATATGTATTTATGGAAAACCGATTTATATTAAATCCTGGTGTACAAGTGGAATTCGTTGCATCGAAGACCTTCTAAATGTTAACCTTGAATTTCTTACCTTATCAGAAATGAAAGAGAAATACAACTTTGACTTTCCTTTTACCACTTATTACGGCCTTTTAAGAGCCATACCAACTGAATGGAAAAGTGCACTACAAGTCAAAGCAGGCGTGCATGATGAATCTGAAAAGTGCGAAACATCCTTGAAGCTTTTTTCCACAAAAGAAGCCTATTCTTCCATAACTGATAAAAGCTTCTCAGCACCCACTGCTGAAGGCAGAATTCTAGATCATGGGTTCACCAAAGAGGAAATTCCTTACATCTACATGCTCCCGTTCAAAATCTTGAAAGAACCAAAACTGATCATGTTCCAAGTCAAAATTATTCAAAACATTTTACCTACCCAATCTAGCCTCTTCCGCGCGCGCATAACTGATACTGATGTTTGTCCTTTATGCAACCTTGAAAGTCAATCTCTAAAACATATGTTAATTACCTGTAGTGTATCCTCTTCGTTTTGGACTTGTTTTTCTAACTGGTGGCACGAAAAATTTAATCACAAACTGACTTTATCTGAAAGCACTATTCTATATGGTTGGCACAAATATTATCGCCAAATATAATGTTTTTGCTACAAGCGTACGCAACGGCGTCCTGGACTTTGACAGTTTTCTACTGCGTCTCAACAACAAAATTGATATTCTTCGCACCATAGCTTTTAGATCTAACTGCTTATCGCAATTCAAAAAAACATGGGACAAACTTCTTTAGATGCGTGAATGCTAGCGTCATTTCCTTCAAGCTACACTTTACTCCTATACTGTTTCACTTATCAGGTTTGCGTCTTTTTCCTTTGAATTTAGTTTGTTGATTTGTTTGTTTTTTTTTCCTTTACAAATTAAGTTTGTTTTTTGTCATATAGATATATATATTATTTTATTTTTCATAGTTAAAATAACAAGTAGTTGTAATTAATTTTTTTTTTCTTGTCAATAAATAAATAAATAAATAATAATAAAAAAATTATTGATGTTCTCGGAGGATATTCAGCTGATGTGAGTGATGCAATAAAGGAACTTGTTGGAGAGAAGAGTGCCACCATCTTACAAAGACTGCAGAGATCTGTCATATCGAATACACTAAACAATGCGCACAATTTAAAAATTCTTGCTTAAACAAAGAGGATTGTTGCTAAAGTGCTGTTTTTTTTTAGAAAAAAATTATTATAATTGTATGTTGAAATTTTTATTGAAACTTTTAGTATGATTTTGCCATAGATCTTAAGCTAAGTAGAATGATGGATAAATTTTAGGACAAACGGAAAATTTTTTTAAATTTATTGGTTTTAATGTTTTAATATTTCATAAGAGGCAGTTATGACTAGGATATTCTTAATATTTAAATATTTTTTATATAAGAGAGACTTCATGGTGCAGCGGTTGGTTACGGTCAGACGCCCAACTTCTGAATTTTTTTTTTACTGATACTGGGTATCCAGACGTGTAAAACTGCCAAATAATAATAATAATAATAATAATAATAATAATAATAATAATAACAACAATAATAATGATGATTATTATTAGCAATAGCCACTCTGTTTCCCATATGTTACTTATCCCAATTGAAACACTTAGATATGAATGCGATTGTCTCAGGAAAGGACGTGAGACGTACCTAATTCAAAAAGACAAAACCATCGAGCCTCAGGGAAAGAACAAACGTGACGAACTATAGTCATTATGTAATCTTTATCTTTTTTTCGGTTTATTTTTCTTAGCAGCCACACCTTACCGCGTCATACCATGTATTATTTTACAGTAGGATATATTCTGTGTATTTTTCCTAATAAACCTGATGAAGACTGGTATCGGCCAGTCAAAATATTGTATACCTCAGCCTTTTTCACGTTGTTTAATCAATCTTTGCAGTAGTCTTTTTGACTTTAATTATATTTTTATCTTCTTCGACCGATCACGATCTTGTTTGTTCCGACGTTGAACTACATTAATCGTTCACAGTTTTTGCAGTTGTTCTTCACGCCTTGTCAGTGAGTCGCATTAAGAAAGAACTACGTCTGGATTGAATGTTAAAATCTATTAAAACAAACCAGGAAACGAAAGAAACAAAAAAATGGAATCTGGTGAAGACTGCGCCTGGAGTAGTTGCAGAAGTCATGGGTGTTGCTTGGCAAATGGCATCGTCATGTTGAGAATATTCACTTCAGGATTTTTGACCGTCAAAATAATATTTTTTTGACTTCGATTTCTATGGATTTCCAATTTCAATCGATATTAATCGGAGGATTAAATCGATTAATAGCGATAATATCGATTTATTTCCCCGTTCCTTCCGGCTACTTTCTTTGAGCCCCCGATAACTCGATCGAAATCCCCAGAACTCGAATAGCCTGCGTAGCAAGCGTTTCCGTGCGGTTTAGGAGCAAAGAACGAGGAACGAGAGTCAAAGACCACGCGAAAAATGGCGCAATTAAAAGAGCGGCCGGGGAGGGGGTGGCTGTCGTTTCATTTCTCGCGCGGTCAAAAACCGAAAATCCCGTTCCTCGGTCTTTTTTGTTCCAAAACTAAATGGAAACGCCTGCTACGCAGGCTAGAACTCGAACTTTTTTCGATTTTCCTTGAAAGTTAGAGTTATCGGGAGTCGACTATAATTTTACTCCCCGCTCACTCTCTGTGCTTGTTCCCATCATCCCCCATTCTCGTCCCCAGAGCCGCTTGGCCCTCTTAACCGTCGGAGACTGAGCACGAGGGCCGAAGGGCCCTCGTGCTCAGTCTCCGACGGTTAAGAGGGCCAAGCGGCTCTGGGGACGAGAATGATCATCCCCCTCTCGCGCTTCTCGCTTGTCTCCAGTTCTCACGCTTCTCCCTCTTTCTTTTATTCGCTTGCCTGGTTCTTCCCACTGAGCCTTGGGAGCCTGTGGAGCAGGCAAGTACTGCATAGCTCTTGTCAAAATTGTGTCATAAGTGTCAGGAAATATTAATCCTACCTTCAGCTCTTGTTCTTTATATAATAGGCGTTGTTTGTCTGGATCTGGACCAAGTCTTCTTTTCACGAAATCTTTCAGCGATAAAATCGTCAAATGTGGCTGGTACTCTAAAACAGTACTGTCCCCACCCAACATAACAACAGATATCGTCTTGTCGCCCTCCGCGGATGGCCTCTCGGTATCTTCAGGGTCAGAAGACACATGGAGTTTTGGAAACAGATTCTCGAGTGTGGCTATACATTCAAGATAGCGTGGGCTGTCCGTCTTTACAGCTTGAGGACACTGAGAACACTTACAAAACTCTTGTACGTGCCTTGTTACACACTGAAAGGAAATAACCTGTTCTTACGGTCAAATCACTCCATCACAAAAACAAACAAAAACAAGAGGAAACACCCATTGATTTTATCCTTGGTTGAAATTGTATTTTCTTTTGTTTTCGAGTATGGTAGTAGAAATGTATGATAATGGGTTGAAAACAAAGGAAACAAAATGTAAACCAAGGATGAAAGTAACCCACAACAAGGCCATTATCGTGCCTTTCAGTCATCGGAAACGTACAGCTCTCTTTGATGTTTGTTTATTCCAATCAATAATTTCTTACACAATGAAGTTTTCGATAAAATTCATGAAAATCGATCAGAAAAGTTTTTCATAACAGGTTACCGTTTTTTTGTTTGAGTTGCACGTGCTTGTTAGCTTGATTGATTGATTGATGAGGCCAAGACGTAACTGACATAAAATGCATTGGTGTAGACTGTGCAGCACTAAACAGTACAATTTAACTCGCTACCCGCTGACCGCCGCGCTTTACTATCTGAACGCCTGGAACAGGCTAGTACAACTTTAATAAGCAGTAGATTACCGTCCCTCGATTAATCGCCTCCCTCGCATAATCGCCCACCCTCCTCCAATAGGTAACCCGCTATCGATACCCATAGCGGTAAATCTGGAGGGTGAGGCTGAAGAGGAGTCTGATCCAGCAAAACTGATCAGTCATCAGTGACGACGACAAGGATATTAACAATGAAAATTAATCAGGGAACCAAATTTGGAACACTTAAAAAGCCCACGCTCAGTTCCTTTGACGCGATTATTTTTTTATTTAATGGGGAATAGAACAAACTATGTAGGACACGACTTCCAGTGAACAATATTATGAAATAATCGCCTTCCCTCGAATAATCGCACCCTTTTGGTGCGAAAAAAAGAATAATCGCTCCCGACTATTATTCGAGGAAATACGGTATCAGAGACCGTCTCTGGCGTTAGTGTTTATAGAGACAAACATCTATGATGTGTTAATTGTGACTGGAATTGCAGCATGTACTCACCCTGAGGCAATGCAGAGGTGCATGTTCACAGTTATCCGTAATGGCATTTGCAGGAAACTCTCTGCGAAGCTTTCTGGTTTGGCACAAATCACAGTACATGTTTTCAAGCCGTCAGTAGACCCTAAAGAAGACACGCCCAAAATCCTGTTTTTATTCGTGATTAAATAATAGTCATATGATACATATGACACGATACGGTGAAACACAAAATGATGTGATTGGAGCCCATAACATATCATACGCCGGATGGACGCCCTAAACACTGACCACGGAAGCTGGACATTTACAGTATACTACAATTGTAGGTCCATAAAGTTGGTAAGACCAAAACAAACCCGAGTCCCAAACGAGTTCTTAGCGATAAACTTTCATACCACTGGTCGGGGTCAAGAGCACTTCAGGGACGTTTTTGCTTGGGCCATACAGCTAGGAAGTGATGGGGAAACCCCAGCATTACGACTAGTAAAAACTGCTTTGCATGCTGGCTAGAACCGACAAAAGCCAATGCAGCATGCGTATTTCCGACGAGCGCTGTTGATGAAACGTCGATCTTATGAGATAAAAGCGACGATTGCGTTGCCATTCCGTTCAAGTTTGAGAACATTAGTCCCAGCGTGCGATAACGGCAAAGAAATTTGCCAGAAAGTGTTATGCACATTAAGAGTCTTTTTTCTTATATGACTTGTTGCTTTTTACATTTTCTCGTTTCCGCCGTCGTCGTCCCTCGACCTTGCTAGCAGCGTTATCACGAAAAACAATTTTTTCTATATGCGACGATATTCGTTGAAAAACACCGACGATTTGAAGGAAAACGCGCGCAGAAAACAAAGTGCGCACTCTCTCCTCCGTAGAGGCCTCTTTGTATCGTAGGGAGGGCTCAAAAGAGGGAAAAAGAAAGCGGGCAGGGCACGATAGGAAGGAGAAAGAGATGAAGCCTTTTTCCTCTTCCCATCGGCCCCCGCTCGCTTTTTATATTTTTTATTGGGATACCCAGCGGGGGCCTCTGAAGAGGAGAGAGGACCAGAGAGACGTCCGCTAGCCTGTTCCAGGCGTTCAGATAGTAGAGGGCGGGGGTAAGTGGGAGGCGAGTTAAGTTGTACACCGGGAAAACGGGGGGGCTAGAGCGAGAGAACGTTCTCTCCCCCTTTCCCCCTCTAGTCTCCACTCGTTTTTTCTTTCTTCGTGAATTTTTCTCCGGCGCTCTACTGTCTGAACGCTTGGAACAGGCTAGACGTCCGCAGGTACCCATCGGGATGCTCAGCAATGAGAGAATCGAATTTTCGCGCATCGCAGGTGGCGGGTCGCGGGTGAAGTAAAAATAATTGTCGTGGTTAAAGTAAATTTTCGAAAGTGCAGAAAAAAGTCGCCATTCGTCCAGCCATTAATCAATAGCAAAACATGAGAATCATCAAGTCCAAGCTTGTTCCTTCTTTCTCGTGAACGCGCTTCCTTCAACTGTGGCCAACGTTCTGCTACTATATACCTTCTATGGCTGTAATCAGTAAACCAGCGCGAAACCCCCAATTCAAAATTAAAAAGCAGCCGTTCCACGACGGGTGTGTAAATTATTCAGCCCACTTGTACCCATGAGGGGCTTCAGAGGTCCGTTCTCAAAATATCTAGGAAAACGTCTTGCTGTCTTAGCTTGGTAGCGAACCGTCCTTGAGGAATTGCATCATTGGTAATCATTGTATAAGGTTAATTGGCTTATTATCCCTATTAATTTTTAGTATTAATTGTAACTTGATCTTAAAGTTTTTGCAATACTGTAATTTCATATAACTTATTATAGGAAATTAACGCTCCATGAAATTAAGGTATTGGAAATTAACGCGACTTAAATTAACGCGAATTTAATGGAAAACCACTTTCGAATAAAGAAAATTAACGCGAAAGATGAGGTAGAATTTCATAATAAAGGAAATTAACGCGATTAAGACACGGTTGGACAAATTTATTTCAACACTGGATGCAAAAAAATCCAAAACTGACCAAACCTGAGCTGACATCACTTCTGACAGCGACAACGCTGAAGATGAACTCGAAATATTGTATACCTTCGCCTAAGCTTTTGTGAAAGATGAAATTAAAATAAAGGGTAAATGGAAAGAAAGAAAGATTGTAGTTAATGTTTTTTAGGTGTCAAGAATGTCTGGACAGGTTCCAAAATTGGGGTTAAAATACTGGAAATTAAGAGCGCGGAAATTAACGCTGCACTTAATTAACGTCGCGGAAATTAACGCTCAACAAAATTAAAGCGACTTAAATTAACGCGAATTTTAACGATTCGCGTTAATTTCATGAAGCATTAATTTCCTATAATAAGGTAGTCGTGTAAATAAAGCTTATGTTGTTGTTGCGCTTTAGGAATGCGTAAACAAAAAGATTGATAAAGAGCCGTAAGCGAATATCTATCTTAGGAAGGCGCGACTGCACAGGCTGCTGCAGTTGGCGAAAAGGTAATTAAGTTCTTCTGTAGTTCTTCTTTTAAAACACCGCTTTTTAGTTGCTGAAAGCAAAGAGGTTTCACCACACCATGTTAGTATTAGATGCATTTCCAGCCATTTCAGAGGACTTTAATGCTCATGCAATGGGAGGAGCATTGCGTGACGAGACAAAAACGGCTGCGAGGGAGACTAGTGACTGTAGTTCAAGGCTAGTTGCTGGGACTGCAATGATTTCCTTATATTGGCAAAACTAAGCGACGACTCCATGACAGAAAGATCTAGAAGACTGAACACTTCAAGGGCTCAAGGCCCTGCCCTAACTAAAAATGACCACTCATCACTGGCAGCACATTGCGGACCATGTTGGTGCCATCGAACGTAACATTAAGTGGGATCGTTTTGTAATTTTGTCATCTGGCAACTCAGCTTATCATTGCAAGTTAAAAAAAACATTGTTCATACAAGATCTTAGGCCAACAACCACAACAATCAAGCTTTATTTACGGTTTAAGGCCAGCTTTTTATGTCAACGTCAGCAGTGAAAATCTGATGCTTTATTAGCTGTGGCATTTTGTATTCATTACTGATAAAAATGTCTGAATTTGGAATTCTTAATCGCATTCTCTTGGAATTTTTGAATAATAGTCTCGTCATAATCTGTAAGGGGTCACTTTAGAACACTTTTGACAATGTATGTTGACTAGCAAACCTCACTAAAGTCAAGTTTACATAGAAATGCGAGGTCTGTTCTATTTTTTGGCAAAAAAGGCCCTTGTTTGGTGCACACGTGATAGTCATTTCCCGCCATTTCAAAAAAGTAGTGTGTTCATTTCAAATCCGAATAGAACTCCGAATCCTTCCGCTCTTTCATTAATTCTCCTATAAATCTTTTACACTACTAAGTAAACTCGACCAGATTTTGCCTTTCTTATCTCAGGTATCGAAAATTGAAAAGAGGGAGCGAAAATTTTAAAGGGCGCCAGCACAACTCGAGCAGCTCGAATTTCTGATCATCGCACGTGTTTGTGCCAATGTTTGGATGCATTATGCGGCTACCAGCGTGATAGAACAGTTCAATCCCCAGGATTGTTTGGATTTACCTGAACCCAGTGGATGTAAACATTTTGGCGAACAGTAATCTTTTTCGCCTTTCAGAGATCAATTCTGCTAGGGTCGAGGTTCCTGAAGTTGTCGCCTTTGCATCACTGACAGAAGAAGCCATCAAGTTCTTGGCTCTGCCGGCCGCCGACGATTCAAAATACCTTGGAGCTTGCAAGGACAGATATCATACTGCATGAACTGACATGTACCTGTACGAAGGATTTTAAAGGTCTTTTACCTACCGGTATGAGCTTAAATATCCTCCGTTCAACGCTCAGTGTCGATTAGGAAACGATCCGGGCGATGAATGAACATCGGAATGAGAGAGGCTTTTGTTGTAATCCTTTACACTAAGGTAAGTTAGGAACTGAATGCTTACGACGTCCAGAACGGACCCAAAGTACCGAATACTTTCGGTTTATTTTATCCCGATCACGGAACCGTGGAGTTATGATTTCTGAATGACTTTCTGAATAGGTTACGTGTCAAGTAATTTATTACGTTTCTCATGTTTTACCATAAAAGGTATGCCATGCCACGTGGATTTCTGGGAATTGAGTGCTACGAACTCGTTTCTTGGATTCTTGGAAATTACTTTGTGCGTGGGAAGTTTGTTTTATAGTTCGAAAGTCATACGAGTTTCCTAGAAATTAGGTTGTGCGGAACTTGTTTCTGGTTAGTGTTCCATGGTTTCTTTCTGGTAACAGTTGGAAACTATGGGTTAAAGTAACCCACAAATTCTGTAAGATTTTGCTGTAGGGACATTAAAGGAAAGGTAAGATAAGTGTAGTGCTAAATGTATTTTTTGTGCCATTAATTTATGATGCACTGTGGTTTTGGATGACATGGTTGGGGTGTAGTGCCAGTACCGGCCGGTACTCTGTACTATCTGTAATATCCTCCACATTTCTTCTGCTGTTTACTCTACAATTCTCTTGCTAACGGAGCTGTCGATACTGGGAAGGTACTAAAAGCGGGACTAAAAGTTGCTTGGCCATACGCTATTTGAGTTTCACTTATGGGAGCTTTTGGGCCACAGGAATAGTATTTTTATCTCTAATTTGCCCAGTCATCAAGGGACAAAGGACAGCAGATAGATTAAAACAGATGTAATGTTTTAGCAGTGTCGTTCTTGTCTATTCGGTAAACGATTTTCATTCTTTGAAAGTGTGATTGAAATTTCCATATCGGTGTCCCCTCGGGATTCTTGGAAAGTGGGTGGGGTGAACTGCTAAGGAGGGTGGTGGGGGGAGAAGGGGTTTGTCATATGTTGTAGTCTCCTTATCTGGAACATGGTTTTTGTGACACCAAAAAAGAATGCACAGAAAAGTTTTACCATGTGATCAGCCTGCTAAATAATTATAGTATAATTTTAGATACAAAATTCTAGCAAAGACAGCTCCAAAATTTGGAAACCTAAACCCCGGCCAGGACTACCCTACCCTACCAACAGGAGCTTTCTAAGAATGCTTAGATCATGCCCCTCCTAGTTTCTAAGAATTAGTTGAATAAACTAATTGGTATGCTAATGTAAACCTTGAAGTCAATGTTTAAGATTAGCATACCAATTAGTTTATTCTACTAATTCTTGGAAAGTAGGTGGGGCCTGATCTAAGCATTCTTAGAAAGCTCCTGTTGGGTTTCAGTTTCAAGGAGCTCATTTCATTGTTTTAATGTCTTTGCCAAATGCAGCCATAGCATTTGTTTGTAGAATCAAAAGAATTACAAAGCTTTACAAATCTGTCATATTTTCAAAGCTTTGCTTTGAGCCAAATCCCTGGCAATTTTTCAAAATTTTTTATAGCTCATTCATTATCAAAAACTTCATTATAAATTCAGTTTGAGTGAAAGTACAAGAATCACTTAACCAGAAAAAATTTGTCAAATGATACTATGCAAATTGTATTGGATATCTAATGTCTTGGTCACTAAAAGCTCAAACCATAACATAAGATGTGTGGTAGGTTAGGTAAGTCGAGCCTGACAAAAGCACTCAGCACTCTATAGCTATCTGTTTCTTTTGAGCCCTTTAATGGCCAGTTCATTACCATGCACTCTGACATTTATTTGTATTGTGGTTCAGTTTTATTGCTAATAATCTAATTTTTATTTCTTTTTATGTAAGGTTATTATTTTCTGAAGATAACACTTAGCATATATTATTATTATAATATGATATAGAAAATGGAGGATTTCACCTACATGTAGGATACAGAGCCAGAACATATTGCATGAATCACTACAATATGTAGTCATTCTACATCATCTATTAATATTCACGTATCTGCAAAGCGTTTCTTGGGCCAAACAAAACTACTTGCTGGATCATTGTGGTCTCCTAAATTATTTTTATGGTCGAGGAATTACACTGATCATGAATTTGAATTGTTGTGGTAACTAAATTTAGTAATTAAAACAGGATGTTATTATTTAAAAGGGATTGTGTTAATTATATATTTTTTGGTTAGGGAACTGATTTATTTTGTTCTTACATTTAATATATGTCTAATACATTTTATTTTGTTCATTCTATAATTCGAACCTTCAAGGAAGAGAAAATAGTTCAAGTTACTGGGAGTTCGAGTTATCGAGGGTAAAATTATATAGAAAGCGATCTGAAGGGAAAATAATGTAAATTGCTTCAAGTTAGTGGGAGGTTTGAGTTATAGAGGGTTTGAGTTACTGAGATTCGACTGCATTGATTTTTTTATATCAATTTTTCTCTAGCACAAGCATTAAATGATATTTTGGAATGTGGATTTTGTCCCAAAAAGTGTGTGCATCCAAGTACACATGCAATGACTTACAAAAATCTGAGTATTTGTAATCAGATAATTTTAAAAGTTAAATGGTCCCTGAAAACGACTTTTTCTAAGTTTCAATGTGTAACTTACTTAAATCTTGGCAGATTTAAACTTAAAATGTCTGGAGATTTTTATCATGGAGGTGGTGGAAGTAGTGGATCTGATGGTGCAATAAATCCTGGTTTTGATCCCTTGGGTGCAGCTAGTACTGGTGAACATGGCAGCTCTTTCAGTAATAATAATGACAGTCATGGTGTCGACCAGAGAGCAGCCTATTGGAAAGAATATGCAGACAGAAGCTTTAAAGAATATTTTTCAAACTGTCCTGGAGGCCCAGCAAGCTCAGCGCATTCTACAGGATGGGAGGAGCAGTCAAATCCATCTGTAAGTTAAAAAGTATTGAAAAATAATAGATATTAAGATGGCTCCGTCATTAACACCAGAGAATTTAGCTGTGACAAATTTTCCATCGTAACTTTTTTGTTTTTAACGCGATGGCTGTGAAACATTGCAAAGAACAACAAATATTATTCGGCAATAGTACGAAATATTCCGATTTCATGGTAAATATTTCTTGAGAAATTATCGCGTAAAAGGACCCTACTGTTCAAAGAAAATTGCGTCTAGTAAAAAATTTCGTTGACATTTTTTACTGAAAGTTCTGGTATTGGCTTTTACAGATATAATAAATATGCTGAAGAAGTCTGTATAACTAAACGTCGCTCAAAATTCTACCCGTGAACTGATCGATTCATATAAACATGTTGCAGTGCAAAACATAATAATCAAGAAAAAACTACTCATCCATTGAAGGAAGGATTGGCAAGAATTTCAGAGTTGTAAGTTTATTCTCGGGCAGTATTTTTGCAATAATTTTATTTTGCACTGTGATGTAATTTGGTTCACAGGAATATAGGCATCATTGTCGTGTGTCCCCTGGGTGCAGAGGTGTAAATTCTTCACAGAACTGTCACTTGTGCTCATTTTGTAGTCATAAACAAAGGTGCTGGACAGTTCTATCTGAGTTCTGATATGAGGTAGCGTCCAATCTCAATACCTTTTTCCCGAAATGGAAGCAACAAACAGCAGTAAATTGTCATTGAAAATGCATTGCAATACATCAAAATGTATGCACCAAGAATTTGAGCCAAAACTGCCAAGGGATATTTTAAAAATGTTGAGGAACTAGTCTACTTCAGAGCTAGGTTTGGAGCAATTTATAGTGCTTCTAAAACTAAAAAGTACCTTTTACTTAAAGCACGATAGGCAATCGGCTTTTGTTTTAAGAATTAGCAAACATTGAATTTACTTGTCCCGAAAATTCAAACTGGTGTCTCCTTCTACCTGATAGTAATTTATTTTTGAAATTCCAAAACAATTTCACAGCTGAATTTTGAGCCATGTTTATAGTTACGGACTTCTGCTCCAACGATTTTACCCGGGGGGGGGGGTACTCCCATATATTACCTATACGGGTATGTGCCGCCCAACGGGGTCGTGATTTTGAAGCTCCTGATTTAGAAAGGGGTATCCATTTTAGAGGCGTTTTCTAGAACGGGGTATAATATTTCGAAAGCACGAAAGCTCCAGTTTTGTAAGCAGCCATCTGAACTTATTTAAGGACAGATTGCTGTTAAAAATACGGTTCAATGCGTTAACAAGCAAACTGTTGTACTCTTTGCTCCTTAGAACGGAGTATAAAAAATTGGTCCATTTCTAGAACGGGGTATCAGTTTTAGGGCGAATTCTAGAACGGGGTATCAATTTTAGGGGAAATTTTTTTTAGAACGGGGTGCCAATTTGGAGTCCCGGGCGGCACATACCCACCCAAAAAATACCCAAGTGCCCCCCCCGGGCGATTTTACTGAAATTCCTCTGGCATATTTATTATATCAGTTAAAGCCAATACCAGAAATTTCAGTAAAACATATAAGCAATTTTTTTAAAAACTAGACGCGATTTTCTTTAAACAGTAGGGTCCTTTTAAGCGCTAATTTAGTAAAATATATTTACCGTCAATGAAATTGGAATGTTTCGAAATATTGCCGAATGATATTTGTTGTTCTTTGCAAAGTTTCTCAGCCATCGCGTTAAAAACAAAAAAGTTATGATGAAAACTTAGTCACAGCTAAATCCCCCTGTATTAATGACGGAGCCACCTTAATTTATGCCTGCATGGGTGGTTTTTTTTAAGTGGGGGTTAGTGTAAATAGGGGCCAATTCCTTACCAAAATGTATTTTCCCCTCATCACAAATTTCTTATAATATTGTCTTTGAATGAATGAAGGAAAAATAAACAATTAGTGGTATTTAATTCATTTTATACCCCCAAATGTCTTTTAATAAACGAAGGAAACAGAAGTAATTAGTAGTTATTGTTCTTTGTTTACAACTACATGTACTTTAATTCAATATTACTTAAATGAATAATTGACTTTTAACTATACTGCCATTTAGTCCATAACTTTTGAAATAAGTTTTATAAGATTTATTTGAATATTTTTACGTAAGAAATTTCTCAAACTTATTTATTTTTGCAGGAAGTTGGAAATGATACAACTGAAGAGGAATGTAGTAAGCCTCAGGAACCCTCTCATAATAAAGAAGAGGTACCAATAATAAATAGTATTCTTTTATTAAGCTTAGTTATTATTCATCCACAATATTTCCTTGATTCTGATTGGCTGAAAGCACACGCATATTATTCACCATAACCAGCTACTGATGACTGATGATGGGAGAATTTTGCGATTAATCTACCGATGACATCAAAAGTGCAGCTTTGTTGCAGGTTAATGCACTGTTAACCGAGAAGACCTGGGGACCAGGTTGAGTTGTTTTGGTTGTGAGATGTCTGCCATTTTTGGTTTCACAACCAAAACAACTCAAGAGTCTAAGAACTAGGCGAAATAATAGCTAGAACAGCAAGAAGACAACTCGAAGGGCAACATCTGTGATGGAGAATATTTGCTGAGCTGAACAACCCTAAACGTGCCCTATCGAAGATGAACTTAACATAAGATGGAGGTACAAACATGTTTTAGCTATGTTTTTAAACTAGGAATTATTTTGAATGAATAATAAAACAATTATTAAATTTGGCTTTGCATCTTATGAAAAATTATGGAGATCTCAGAGAGTGTTATTTGTTGAGACCGTGACAACACCCTCCTCGATCTCCGTAATTCTTCGTAAGATGCTCAGCCTCATTCATTAATCGTTAAACAATTACAGTTGAGGTTCTTTTTAATGGCCACCTTGGAGACAGAAGAAAAACTGTGGCCGTTGTAGAGAGATTTAAGCGGGAGTCAATGACTGGACTGCGTCCACCAGAGAAGTGGCCGTTGTAAATAGTTGGCCGTTAGTGGAGGCTCCATTGTATTTTTAGATTTTTAGATGGCCTGATGATCAGTCATGACAGTTCTGATAATAATGATGGTGTGATAATGATGTTCAATTAAGATGATCTTAGTATTAAAGATTATGTCCGTGAATGGTTTTTAACCCAGGAGTCATGATAGAAATAAGTAGGTACAGGAATAAATTAAGATCAGCTGGGGGATTTTAGTCCTGAGCAAGAATGTTTCTGACCATGACTGACATTTTCCATATCCTTTACTTGATATGACCAGCTCACAGGTTGTCAGAGTCACTGTCAACAACAGTCCTTTTTGGGACAAAATTATCGCGTGGATGATCATATTTCAATAAATTAGTATTTTTAGTGTTAAGAGGTGAACTTTTTAGACAATTTAAGATTTCATGGGCGAAGCCACATGTATCCACGTGCATACCAGAAAAAATTTGCCGCAGGTTAATCAATTAATCAATTAATCTGCGTGCTTTTTTCAACAGACTTGGCATTTGAATTTTCTGTGGAGAGATAAGAAATATCAAAGTGAATTTTGCTATAAAACAAACTAGAATCCTGCATCTACTTTGGAGATTTTGGCAAAAAAGCCATTTTCATTTCACTTTCTCTAGACTGAACGATCTGAAACTGCTCATATATCAATGTTGTTTACAGGTTCAGTGATATGTTAACTTTTGCTCCTAACTTACAGATTTCAACCTTCAGGCATACTTTTTTCTTTCGCGTTCTCTCTTTTCCACCTTTCGCTTTTCTTTTCCCGTTTTTTTCTTTTGCTGGGCATTTATTTAGCTTCATTTTGGTGGGAAAAGTTCTTCCAAACGTCCGTGAGATCGAGAGATCGAGAAATTATTTTTGAAAGAAGTACAGTTAGGAAGCTGCACAAGACTTTCAATGGATCTTTCTGATCGAAATTTCATGACTTAATTTAGCGGTTTCCTTTGCCATGCTTTGCGCTCGTTAGGTATGGTTTGAAAAATCTAACTCCTCTGCTTAAAAATTTATGCCTTCACACTTGAAGCTTTGAAACTGACAGTTGCGACACGGGAGCTCAGTAACTAACCATGATAGCGACGATCATGAAAATGCGTTAAAAAAATTCTTTTATGATCAAAACAACAGCTCTGAATGTGCATCGCACTTTTCACCTAGTACGTTTTTTGACACCCACTGCAATGACTACGACTATAAATGCTCTGTTTTATGGATGACACTAACAAACGACGACGAATTTCTTTCTTGTTTAACACATGCATGGTGCAGTTAACCCCTAATTCTTGGAAAATTTGCCCATGACAAGTTTATAAGCGAAGCTAAATAAATACAAGAAACTGTTTAAAATAAGTCTGATTAATTTTTAGAATCTTTTCCTCTACGGTAGTGATTGGGGATATGCCGTTGAGTTTTGGAAATGTTAGCCAAAACAAAATAAGAGCAAAACATTAAAAGTAAGTAAATAGCGAGGGTGGTTTAAAAAGGGAAAGACACCGCGAGTCTTTGCTGGCAAGAAACTCAACTTAGTTATTTCTTTCAAATATTAATTTTTCAACCGCAAAAAAATTGCCTCCTTATACATTACCTGCTGCCTTTCTTAGAATACGTTTCCCTCAAGAGTGGATACAATTTGAAGGCTATCGAGAAATAACAAAAATGAAGACCTTACATTTCAGCGAGAAAATCTTGTAGAAAACAAAGTGTAGACAATACGTCTAACTTACTCTACTTTATTTCTTCGCATATTTCGCCCTTCACGACAAAGCCTGATGGTAGTTGGATTGGCTTCTAAACGGTGAAACTACGAGCAAACATTTTCTTAACTCTCTTTGCCTGGATAATGACTAGTCAACAGGAGCAGCAGCATCAAACGGCGCTTTCTATAGAAAAAAGAGGTCTTAAGTTCGTTTAGGAGCACTGCGTGTAAGGGTCATTATCAAATGTTTTCTAAAATCGATATCGTTTTAACTGTTCCTTAACATTTGACAATAGTTGCAATTATTTATCTTAGTTTCTCAGGTATTTCTTCCATCTCTTTGTTGGTGAGGACGGCGTTCAGTCAGTGAAGATCGTCACAGAGAAGCCGATGCACGACGGTAGTCTCACGATAGCCCTCGAGCCTTTTTCAGATGCCAAAGACTATTGGAGATCTCCTCTGTTGTTTGTACACGCCGAAGAACAAGAGACTTTTCGTTATCGTTATGTGGTGAAATACAGTAAAGGACTAATAAAGGCCGTCACCACGTTTTTTGTCGGTACGTTTACTGGAAGAAGTTATGAAAAAATTGTACAAGAAGTGCGCGCACGCTATTTAACTAACGGGATGCATCAGTTTGACATTTTTCAGAACCCCATTGATCCTTCCCGGATGCGAAGTGTTTTCACTGGGCAATTGTTTTTCATCAAAATGTTGTGCCGAGAACTCAACAATGGTGGAAATCTGAAAGAACTGCTGATTGATTGTGAACACGTAGGATTTGCCCACCCGTCGTTTATCACAGAGGACGTGAAACAATTTTTGAAGTGGGTACAGCATATGGCAGGTAACTCCCACACTCCTTATCAGGCCGTCTTTCTATGTTCACTTCTTGGTCAGTTAGTTGAACGCGGGCGTACCTGGCAAGCTGGATACACTTGCAGCCATCTTGGAAAAAAGTGCTGTGATTTGATTTTGTCCTCCTTTGGTAGCTGTCCCTACACGCCACTGCCTCAAAGTAGTTTGAAGTTCATCAAAATTGTGGCTGAACCTCTTTTCATTGCTGGGTCCTCAACGGGTTGCTTGATGTTTATTAACTATTTTTGTAATCTGTTAGATGCCAACTATGTAATGCTGGTGGTGAATAAACTCACATCACAGACGTACACTGAACACCAGTTCGACCAGGATGTGCTAATTTTGTTAGACACCCTGAAAGGTTTAAACGACCATGCCTTCTGTACAAGGTATTTGTCTTATGTCGTAGGCTGTTCTCCATCTGCCCGTTGCCTTTGGAAACTCCATAACACCATGTCTCGCACGTTCCCGGGCGTGGTAGAGGCCCTAACGAAGGAGTTTATAAGCGTTTACAGCAAGTTCATTTCACGTCGTGCAAGAAAACCAGATCTTCTCGACCCATTGTTTTGGCCTTTTGTACCAGAGAGCTTGAAAGACAAAGTAGCCAGTCTTTTCTGCAGAGCACTTGAGGCTCAAGTTCTTTCAGAGACTGAATGGCCGAAAGAAAGGCTTCTTGAATTGCAGGACATCATTGTTGACACAAGGCTACATTCATCGGATGATTTTCGTCATTTTGCAATAGAGGTCATGACACACAAATGTAAAGACTTGGTATCCATTCTCCCAGATCTGCTGAATTCAACTGCATTCTGCTGTTATTGGAAAACCGTCCTCTCCGATGCAGACAAAGAAAAAGTTTGCGATCACTGGTTAAAAACATCCTATCGAAATCTAACGAAGCCTAAAGAGCGGATCCTGGCTGTTGTGGAAGCCTGTGAGATGCTATGTGCCACGGAGGCTTTGAAATGCGACAAACCACTTTGTGTTCTTATGCAGACGTGGGTGGAGCGTTTGGTCCTCAAGATGAGTTGTCAGGCCGTCATGAGTGCGTTTCAAGATGGCCAGAATAGGTCCCCTACGGTTTGCCGGCACCTCATGTCTCTTCTTAGAAGTGCCATAAAGCAGCACAGTGGCACAGGAGACCGTCGTTCAAAATATAGGCAGATGATTCAGCTACTTGGCCTCGATGGTCCCAAGGAGAAAAAGAAGGGTTTAAACAAGGCAAAGTTGACGAGGTGGGTTGAATGTAATAAGAAGGAGAAAGACTTTTTCTAGCGATCAAAGCTGTCTAGGAAAAGGACTAGTCATTTGTGTGATCTGTGTACCAATTGATTTTTTAAGAGAACGTTAAGATTTACCGTTGCAGCAAAGATAGAATTAAGAAAGCTGCAATTAAAGAACCTTGAAAACTTGCAAAGGAAAGGGGTTTTAAGCTCGAAAGAGTTACAAAGTTTAATAGTTTCGATTAATTCCACGTCGCTGAAATAGTTTTATTAGTGAAAGACCCGCTTGGCTCAACAGATAAGACGATTTGGTCCAAAACAAGAGCAGAGCAATGTAAAGCGTATTAATAGGGAGCTTTAGCAACGAGAACGGCAAAAATGCAATAGGTTTGCAATAACTTTGCACGTGTATCACACATTTTTGTACATTTCTTTGCCGTAACTACACGACTAAGACGTGAAAAAGCCTAATGTCATGTTTCATCAAGTGACGTTAACAAGTGACGACGAATTTTTCTTTCTCTTTACAAAATTGAGTGCTGTCCCCAAGAAATCAACTCCGGGGAAATTCACCTACATTTGACATTATCAGCGAATTAGAATAAACGCGATAAAGTTTTAAAAAACGCGAATTAAATCTTTAAAGTGACGTTTTCGCTTTCGTCGCCGTCGTCGATGCTAAAGCTCCCCAATTTTTTCCTTTGTACCGAGAAATAATACCGTTCTGGCGCCGCGGAAAAATATCTATCCAGTAACTAACGTAACTGATTTTCCTAACACTTAGAATCCCCATGAATGGGATTTAGCTGTAGGATAGCGTTATCCACCTATTGAACAACTGCAGCCAATATAATCGAACTCAAGTTATTTACCCTATCTTGAATATTAGGGCTGAAGAAGAGGTTCTTTTGGCTGTATTGGATGACCTACCTATAGCAAGTGGTAAAGGACCAGAACAGGTTTTCAAAGCTATGATCGCCGACAGTGACGTGTGGGTGCCTGTATTAAGCGCACTTCATCCTCAGAGCACTCTTATGAAACATCCAAATGTTTTGACGGCCACAAATGCATTGCAGCAATTATCCAGTCCTCGACACAGGTCCAAGTTGCCTGTATCATTTTTTCTAGATATGAAGGGGGAGGACCTCCGTCGACTTGCAAAGATGTGTGCCGTGGCTTCTTCCTTGGATCCTGAAGCCACAGAGAAGAAACCAGATGACTGGATGGCGGACTTTTCTAAGGATCAGGCGGCTGCACAATCCTTCTGTGATCAATTCGCTAGACTACAGAAAACAATACTATTCCTTGAGGCAGTGACCAAGAACATTGTGGTGATATCTGACGCAAAGCTGATAATATCCGAAGTCAACAAAAGAAAGAAATTAAAGACGACCATCATCCTTGGAGTTGCTGCTCATGGTAGTTACTGGGGATCACTGTGCAGTTTGATTGACTCAGGAAAGGCAATCGAGTGCGCTCAGGAATCGGTTGTATTTACCAATATTGCGCGTCTGTGTATGAAAGAGGAGGTTGCAGTAAGTCAAACGCAAGTGGAGGTGGTAGCCAGTGATTCAGAAGATTTGCAGGAATCCAAGGAAGACGGTAGCACAGAACGTACAGCAGCTGAAATATTGGGCCTTCTAAAAAGCAAAGGTTTATCTAAGCTTGAAGACGCGTGCACTAACCTTTTTGCAACGAATAAAGATCTAAGCGTTCAGGAAGTACAAATGCTCTTTAACGGAATTGCTGATGAAGTCGCCCTCAAAAAGGAATTGAAAGTGATCAGATCCCTTTTTCCCACTTCTGCTTCTCAACGAAAGGTGAAAATGTTATTGAACGTCCTGTATTTTCCTCGCATCAGTGCAAAAGCTGAGCAGTTGATGTCGGTATTTGCAGCCCTTGGTTACGAAGGTACTGGAAATGGCGATTCAGTGACTAAGGCCTTAGAAGAAGTAATCTCCTCCGCTCATAACACCGATATCACACTAACGCGTCTCTCTGAAGTTGTTGAAGATACGACAGTTACCATCGTTGATCGCAAGCTTGATGATAATCTGACAACTATCTTTAAAACACTTCAGGAATCTAGCGAGCTGATCTCTTTCATGAAAGAAACTGCCGGTGAAGACATCAGGATACTAATTGATGCTGTTGAAGAACATTCTGATCAATTCGTTTCGGAAGCCACTGTCTCGGATTTGATTGATGTTCATGGGTTTTTGCGCACCTTCCTACGAGAAGAGCCGAAAGATCCGTTGATGCTTCTGGACACCGTTGAGAAATGCTACTCTAAGCTTGAGAAGAAAGTAGAAATGGCAGCCAAAATCAAGGAATGCGGCTGTAATGTCCACAGTTTAAGAGGCCTCTACATGAATGTTGCCAACCGAGGAGAAATGACGAAGGAAATTATCAGCAACGCAGTGCAGAAAGGGTGTTACCTCATCATGGCCAGCTCCAATGGTTCATACGAAGTTCAACTTAGCTATCGCCGCCAGGAAGGTGACTCTAAAGAAACAAGCTACAACATGGCAGAACTTCATGACCTTCGAAGTCGAGCTCTTCTTATTGTAAACACTGACAAAAAGCCAGAAAAGCAGAGACAATCAGATAACTGTGATGCTACGGCTGCTTCTCTGAACAGGAGCTTGTCTACTTTTATCCAACAAGTTCAAACGATTACCGACATCCTTAACATGGTCATGTCGTTGCGAGAGTCAGGCCACCCACAATTTAATGACACATTTTGGTATAAGCTTAGTTCCTTTAAAGATACTTTGACTCTGGCAAAATCGTTGGAAGAAAAGTTGAAGGAGTGGAGAAATGTCATGCATGTTTTGCAAAAAGAACACTATTTCTTAAACTTCTTTCATCCCGACCAGCTTTGGATTCTAAGGAAATTTTTCTCCAGACCTCTCTCCAGAACTAAAGCGGATGTCTCTTTGAGAAACCTAGTCTACAGTCTGCTGCGATTTGTGGATCCCAGCGTTCACCACAAGGACCTTGATGAGTTTCATCGATTGTACAAACAACCTAAAGAAAACACTGAACGTGAAAATGACCTCCGCGCCGTTGGAGAAGTTCTTGATGCCATTTTTGTTTCTCGCCATACTTCAGAGGTACAAAACGCTCACCCACATAATCCGCAAAGTGCGGTCAAGCCCGGAGAATTGTTTGTAGCGGTCCTTGAGGAAAACAGTAAACAGACAGCTCATGTGGTTATGTCTTTATTCGAACAAACCACAGGCTCGTATCCACAACCTAGTCAGATTCTTTTCTGTCATTCTGAGACCTCTTGGGAAGAGGTTGAACGACTTCTTAAGCGTGCATTTGAAGCACATGAACATTCGACGGTAGTCAAACTACACTGCCTGGCTAACGTCGAAAACCTTTCAAACGACATGCAGTTCGAGCTTGTTTCCGCCATCAGGGCCTACCAAGAGATGACAGATGGTGCATACTTGCTAAGCATCGTCTGCTGTGGTGGAATTCATCATCATATTGTCGATCAGTTTTCTTCATGCGCACACAACGATACTGGAATGACTGAAAATCAACTTCGCATCGCATTCCAAGAGGACTTCCCAGACGTTTTTATGGTCACCTCAGACCTTCCTGGTGTAGGGAAAACAGAATTGATTCATGAACATGCTGCATCCAAAAACAAGAAAGTTTTAACAATTCCTATCAGTGGGCCCGTGTCTCGTAAAAGTTTGGTCAAGATGTTGTGTGGTTTGACGTTCGCGAAATATGAATGCATTCATTTTGATGTTGGTGAGGTAAACGATCCGTCCGTTCTAGACACACTGATATTTGAACTTGTCGTAGTTGGAATGGTGTCTTGCGGAACAGACCTCTTTCATCTTCCAACCAAGCACGTGTATATCGAAATTGCAAATACATTAAGGCACTGGCTGCAAGATTCTCTTCCTGTCACAAAGTGTTTTTCCCCTAGGCATATTAAGCTAGATGGATATAAAGATCTTGTTGTCAGTCAAGAACCATTCAGTGCCGTGCAAGTGGTTTGCCAATATCTTCATGCTTTTGAATGTGGAAAATTGGAAAGCAAAGAGGTATGTCCTGCCAATTTGAAGCCTCTTTCTCCAAATCGCTGTAAAGAACTCCTGTCAAAGCACTTCTCATCAAGTGGTGACCTATCATACAACATAATTGAGAGTTTTGTCAAGGTGTTCGCTAACCAGCTGATGCAGTTTTCCGCAAGTCCTTACTTCAGGCCGCACAATTTAAGAGCTGTGCTTGGGCCTTCACACGATGTCCGCAACTGCTTGTTCAAAGCCCTTTTGGAAGTGTCACGGGAGTTTGCATCGCGCTCTGTTGTCACCTGTAAGAGTGTTCAGTCAGAAGCGATCTCCAAAGAAAAGGCTGTTGAAGTACTTAAAAAGATTCAGTTGCAGTCAGGGAATGTGGCTGAGAAAATGGTGGAACGTGTGGAAGGAATGATACAGTGGGCCGATAACAATCACCTTGTGATTGTTTTCCACAGTCTTGAAGCCTTGACTATCTCGGCTCTGTATCGTGATTTGGCGTTGGTGCCCTCAAATGTCCGTGAGCTATTCAAGACACAAGCAGTGAAGGGTAAAAGCATGGTTGACTTCACGAAAATGGATCAGAAAGAGCTTCAGCGAAGATTAGATCGAATTGTTCGAACTACTCCTAGGGAAAAAGATGAAAGCTTGCAGAACTTGAGCTATGCTCTTACCCCAGACAACATTCTCAAAATGGTTCTTATCATTCAACGCATACGAGCAGGAATTCCAGTCATTGTTATGGGGGAAACAGGATGTGGAAAGACAAGTCTTGTTAGATACCTTGCGAAGACGTGTGGAGTCCTTTTTCACGTTTTTAATTTCCATGCAGGTGTTAGTGAGGAAGAGCTCGTCTGTTTCGTCCACAAAATGGAAAAAGAAGCGGCCAATGCCAAAGAAGTTTGGGTTTTTCTTGACGAGATCAACACTTGTGATTACCTTGGAACTATCAATGAGATGATTTGTCACCGAAGTATCAAAGGCAAGCGTCTCCCATCAAACGTGGTCTTTATGGCAGCCTGCAATCCGTACCGTCTCCGTCCATCTGGAAAAATTACAACTGCTGGTTTAAATGGAAAGACGATTTTGGATGAATTCTCCAAGCTAGTGTATCGTGTCCACCCTTTACCAGAAACAATGATCGACTTTGTCTGGGATTATGGATCTTTAAGTGAAAATGATGAACGTGCCTACATATGTCGTATGGTGGAGGGAATCACCGGAAACCCCAATAACTTACTGGTTGATCTTCTGTGTACCTCCCAAGACTACATCCGAGACGTCGACAAAAGCCCTTACTGTGTAAGCTTGAGAGATGTCCACCGATGTATTGTTCTTGTTAAATGGTTTAAGAAAATATTGCAGCAGCGGCAAGAACTGCCTTTGTCAAAAAAGCAGGACAGTTATAAATACTACAAAGAGGCTAGCACTTTTTCTACCCGCGAGAGGTCCTTTGTGCTCGCCTTGGCTCACTGCTTCCAGTCTCGTCTTCCCACCACCAGTTCCAGGAAAAGATACCGTCAGCACATTGTAGGTTGCTTTAGAAGCCACGGAAATTATTCGTTCAACGAGTTTAGTTTTGAAGCTATCGTAAGGGCAGAGCAGGAAGACTACCTGGAACGAATGGAATTGCCAGAAGGAACTGCTAAAAATGCTGCCCTTCGTGAAAACGTGTTTGTGATGCTTGTTTGTATACTCAACCGTATTCCGGTTTTTGTTGTTGGCAAGCCTGGCTGTAGCAAATCATTGTCTATGCAGATAATCCGGAGCAACTTAAGAGGGAAGGATGCCAAAGACTCTTTCCTCAAGACCCTGCCTCAACTTTACGTTGTTTCTCACCAAGGCTCTGAATCATCAACATCAGATGGCATACTTAAGGTTTTTGAGAAAGCGAAGAAGTATAAGGAACACAACAAATCTGACGATGTCCTTCCAGTTGTTCTTCTTGACGAAATAGGTTTGGCTGAGGTCTCCAAGTACAATCCTCTCAAAGTGCTACACAGCCTTCTGGAACCTGGTGACAGCATATTTCCTGATGTTGCCGTTGTTGGTATTTCAAACTGGGCCTTGGACGCTGCAAAAATGAACCGTGCGATCCATCTTTCTCGACCTGAACCTGATGTTGACGATTTGTTCGAAACTGGAAAATCGTTACGAGAAGCAGGCAGTGGCATCAGTGACTCTGGGGTATCTTGTACGCGTTCAGGTCGTCCGTTTGGCCAAGGAGCCTATCCAGATGACAAACAGCTACGTTGCCTTGCTGAAGCTTATCAGAAGTACCAGGTACAGCAACTATATCCGAATTTCCACGGGCTGCGTGACTATTACAGCTTAATAAAGTGTCTAAGTACAGACATGAATGGAGAATTCACCCAAACATTTCCTGAGGATAAAACCAAGGAAATCCAACGAGCATTGCAAAGGAATTTTGGTGGCGTACCCAACGAGGTGAATAATTTTCAAAGTTTGTTTCAAGAGCGAATCCAGCTTCAGGAACTAATGGATCAAAATTACCAGTTTGCAGTAACCGACCTCATCTGTGACAATCTACGGGACAAACGTGCGCGTCATCTGATGATAATCACTAACGGAGATTCTGCGATAGGCATCCTTGATCAAACGCTTCAGGATCTCGATAAAGAGAAGATCACTGTTTTTGGCAGCCGATTTGAGGAAGATCTTTCCGAAGAGTACAATTACCGTATGCTAAGCCGCATCATTCTCTGCATGGAGAGGGACTGTGTTCTCATCCTGCGTGATCTAGAGAGTATCTACGGCAGTCTTTACGACATGCTTAATCAAAACTATACAGTAGTTGGTGGGAAGAGAAACTGCCGTGTCGCTTTAGGAGCTTTCAGCAATCCAATGTGTCAAGTCCATGACGGCTTTCGCTGTGTTGTGTTGATTGATCAAGAAAGAGTTGATTTCACTGATCCTCCTTTTCTTAATCGATTCGAGAAACAACTGCTTCGTTTTTCAGATGTTCTTAATGAAGAGCAAAGGAAGATTATCAAGATTTTAAAGGAATGGGTGAAACACATCTCAACGATTCCTGATCTTGAGTCGCAGTTCCGCGAAGAAGACATGTTCATCGGATTTTGTGATGACACTCTTCCTTCGCTTGTCCTTAAAAACAGTCGAGACCCAAATCTGGAGAGCCATGAAATTGTTGAAGAGTGCAAACGGGATCTGATGATGGTGGCATCTCCTGATGGTGTCGTAAGGAGCGTACAATCTGTCTTGGCTCAGACGAATTTGGAAGAAGTTCAGCTGCTTTACAACGACTATTTCCAGAAGCCTCTGCACAATGGTTTGAGAGATTACTTGCGACACTCGCTAGAATGTTTACAACTTGATTGTAAAGGTGAAGATGCCACAAAGGGTATGCGACTGGTGATAATGACCCACAGCAACATTCATGTGAATGTATCTCAGTGCCTCGATGGTCTAGTTCAGTGCCAGACAGAGAAACTAAGCGCTTTTAAGTCTGAAAAGCAGTTGACCAAGGAGTTGGAACGATTCTGGGGATCCAGCGACTCTCTCTTGGTTCTACAATGTAAACCAGAGCTAGATGCTTCGCATATGCTCCTTGCAAAATCCATTATTGAGCAGCAGAGGGAGACATACATCAAACGAGCAACTGACAAAAACCAGCCGCAAGTAAAGCATGCTTGCATTGTTATCCATGTTCAGAGAGAAAGTGAGGCCAATAAGGCTGAGAATCAGCGCTGGCAATTCAGTTTTCAAAGCGGCTGGAAGCAAGTGACGATCGATGTGTTGGAGGACACAGTTTTGCCAGTAACCGAGTGTTTAGACGTCAGTGTCATGGAGCTCTTAGAGTCAAAGACGCTCTCATTTGAGGAAGTGGCTTCAAATCAATTCCTTTGGTGTTTTTTTCGCATCAAATATTCGCCATCTGCCCAGCCTCCATGGGATGACATTCTTCAACTGGAAGATCGTCTGAGGTCATCGCTCAAGATCCTTGCATGCTTCAAGGAGCAAGTGAATCGTTGGTTGGCAAAAAGAGTTGCTTTCGATTCACATGAAGAAGATCGTCCAAGTTGGCAGTACTTCGTGGCATGTGATCGGCAGGCCTTAATTAACTCCTCACATTTAGTGGGAGCTATTCAGCACCATGTAAGCCATCTCATACGTCAACCACTTGCAAAGATTGTCTACTTCTTGGAGAAGGAGTCTGCTTGGCCTTGGTTTGTGTTTCAACAGGACACTTTTCACGAGGAGGAACTTGAAGTCTGGCTGCAACTGGTCATGGATAACGATATTCTTAACATCGATGATATCCCTGATCATCAAGGGCCAGAGTCCTACTTCATTTCTGAGCGGCGTGTGAAGCTGACGTTCCCTTATTTCTCCGTATTCTACAAAAAAGTAGAACACGTGCAATCTGTTTTTGTTGAAGACCAAAGGCAACTTCTCTTGGACAGAACCAACCTAAACGAAAATGATGAGTTGAGCGATGCTGTAGAAGAGGCTCAACTACATCGATTTGCTTCCGTTGTAAAGGATAAAGTCCCTCAAGTATGTGAGCTCGACTATCTTCGAAGTCGCATTGAATGCTACGTGGAGGATTTTCTCGACATGAAGTCAGCTCAGTTTTCGAATCTTTTATCCCGAGACGAAAGAATTGACTTCTTAAAGTCTGCAATGGCAAATGACGTAAAGTTCTCCATTAACGGTGACCCCGCCCTTCTAGTCACTCGGCTGCATTCTCTTTTCTGGCTGAACGAACCTTCCTATGTGGCAGCCCTTCAGGTGTTCGTGACGTGTTACAAGATCGCGAATGTAGATTTTGGGGGACTCGTCTCTGAGTTTACTCCCTTGTTTGAGAAAATGCTGTTTCAGGAAAACAATGCAGCAAAAAACGATCCCATGGAAGATTCTCAACAACTTGAAAGAAATCATTCTTTTGATGTACACCACAGTGAAGATGTGTGTGCGATGGTGGAGGGCTCCGAAGTCGACCGAGGGGAGGTCAGCAGTGAAACATTTACAACAGAGAACGAGAGGAGACTTGAAAAAGAGCGAAACGACGACGAAATGAAGGCAGTGGGAGATATCGGCTCACAGATTGAGGAAGGAAAGGAAGATGCCATTGGAACTAAAAATCAAGGGATTCAGGAGCCTAAAGACGAAGATGTAACACAGACAACGGGGCGAAATGATTCAATGAAAGAGAATAGTGAAAGTGGCGTTTGTGAACGTGAAAGTGTGGGTGGAGAAAATGACGTGACTGTTGAACACGAAGGGAACTCCGGATTGGAACTAAAACAAGGTGTAGAAGGTAATCCTCGAGAAAATGGGCAAATTGATAACAGCGTAAAGGCAAAAGATGATATCCCATGTTGGCACGTAAAACATGAAGATATTATCGAAGATCTTAATGTAGACAATAATGATACAACAAGCGAACAGGTAATCAGTGAACAACTCATCGCAGAAAACTTAGAGGAGAATGCAGCTACCAACGACGAATGGGAGGAGGGTGGCATAGGCACGGTAACAGACGACAGTGGTGTCGAAGAAAGCGTGAGCTTCAACGAAGTATTATTAGAGACGCTCTGTTCTGCGCTACTTCCAACGGACGACGTCGTGAAGAATTTAAAAGGCCCTGAAGGATGGCAGAGAACAGCAAGTCTCTTTCTTTCAACAGCTAGCAGAATGCAAGTTCATATTCCTGCATGCCATTACCTTTGTGTCTGTCACGATTTTGTTACACTTTTGGTATTACCAGAGAGTCTTGAACCATACTCCCTCTATATGCTTGGAGCACTTGGAAAAACGGGAGCCTCTGAGGGCTATCTCGATTCCCCAGACACTTTTGATCGTATTACTAGCGTCATTGATGAGTTGGAGCAACGAGGCATTAAAAAGAGACGTTTGGAAGACTTTCTGATGTTCTTCTATGGACGTTGCATCGATTCAAATCCAGACACACCAGTACTTGGTATCATACTGGCAAAGATCAGTTCCACTGGAGCGAACGCACTTTTACGGCTTGCTGGACCGTTGCTGCACCGTATTTTTCTCACAGAAGAAAGCTTAAGCCCTGGTGTCTTTCAAGAGCTCTTACACAGCTTGGACTCCATCAACGATCATCCAGGCCTCCAAGAGACAAGTGCTGCTTTGTCAACACTATCTGATGATGTTGAGTTGGACTCCCCTTTCGCAGTGGTGTGTTGTGATCTTATAAGCGAGGTTGCGTTCCCTGAAGTAGACTTATCGACGATGTCACACTCGGAGGATCAAATTCTGATGAATTTTCGCAAGGCCTTTCAAACCCTGACAGAACCTTGCGAAGACACTGAAAACGGATCGTTTCATCTTCTTTGTGCCACCGCTTATATGAGGTCATTCCTGGCATCATTTGCAAAGCTTATTTTGGCAAGGCGCCAGTGCCTTACTGAAGAAGGGGAGTTTACAGTGCTTTTGAATGAATTGAATGCAGCCCTTTCCTGTAATTACCTCGATCCTGTCTCTTCTAGGGCGGTAGAATTGCAACTGTACTTCGTAAAGGAACTGAAGAAAGAACTCTACATGTGTGAGGTGCGTGACATCTGCCTACGTAGCCCGAAACTTCCAGCGTTGAAGAATTTAGAATGGCATGATGAAGCCCTGGTTGGCAAACTTAGTTTTGATCCTCTGCGAAACTATACAGAGAATTCTCAAGCACAAGCTGCGTTAGCAACTCTTCTCGAGAAGAACAACCCCAAGCCCCTTGAAGACACCATTCTTGCTATGTCAAGTTCTGCAGAAAAGAGGATGGAGATGGCGGCCACCCTTGCCAAGTCGTTTTACCTTGTTCGTTCTACACGATCTCTGAAGGACAGTGAGGACAAAGTAATTAACTCCTTCATAGGGAAGTTTCGGAACTTTGAATATCCCTATGTCCAGCTCCTCCAGGGAATTACGGGAAGGAAGGATTTCAAAAGTCAAAAACTTTGTATTTCTTCAGAGTCTTCACCAGCTGACGTGCATAGAGCAACTCTAATCCTGCATCTTTGCATAGTTCTAGCCTCTCATTTCAGTGGTGTTGAGCAGAAAAAGCCGGCGTTTATGTCATACCTTACGAGTCCTTTGGCCTCAAGCGATACATACGTCCTGGCGTCTGGAGAGGGTTGTCAGCAGCCGTATGAGGTACATCGCAATTACAGCAGCTTCGATGAAACATCCTTTTTCTATTGCTCCTGTAGAACATTCTTTGTTGCTGCTAGTGATGATGATGATGATGATGATGATGATGATGATGATGAAATAAAGTGTCCCAACTGTCGTTCACTTTGCAAAGCTGAGAAAGTACCTAGCAAGAATACTGCAGCTGTCGTTAAAGCCATACAGCCATCTAAAGTTCCTGTCTGCCTCACATGTCCTCAAGATTTTTTCATTCACGTACGGCAAATGGATCCAAGAGAATTCCGAGTTCTCCACTTGTTCGTGCATGCAGCACTTTACGGAGGCTTCGCGATGGAGTTGTTTGATGAAAATAGTCTGACCCAAATACTGGGCAATGCTGCTACGGACAGTGATCCTTGCGAAGTGTGCTTTCAACAGATTGATAACGATCTAAAAGCGTTATGTCTTCTTTTAGACGCAAATGAAGAATATGTCATCGGTTTCTTGCACTGTGCTTTGCACGAAAGTATTTCCATCCTTACTTCGGGAAGTCTATGTCAAACAGAAGGGGAAAGGTTGGCATGGGAAATCTCGTTCGCTGAAACCGTGCGCCCTTTACTTCGAGAGTTTTACCCGAGGAAACTTTTGGCAAGTTTGCAAGACTTCATGAGCAAGTCTACACTGACCGTTGAAAGGAGGATAGAGGAAATTGATGAAACCCAGTTTTCAGACACGGCAGAGAGAAACCTGCACCTTCCAAGGTTGTTGCGTGTAACGCTGCCTAAAACCTTCTTGTCCCTCAGCGCGTGTTATATGTCAGCTGATCAAGATACTAGGAACCAACATCCCCTTCTTGGGTTATTCCTTGATTCAAACGACTCTCTTCCAAATGTTGCAAGCCTCCACGATCTCCTTTCCTGGAGTCGTATTGTGGACTCACTTTTAAGTAGACGTCTGTGTCGCCACGAAGCTTCTACAAATATAGGAGATATCATTCGAAAAGAATCCAAATCTCCTGAGGAGAGAAAGCGATTAAGTGAGATCTTCGAGAAGTTCAGCATGGCATGGAAGAAGATGCGTCCTTTCGTCAGGGACCGTTTAAAACGAGAGGTGCCATACCTAAGTGAAAGCTCACCGATTTCATTTTGCTTGATTGAGAAAAGAGACAAGGGTACCTTTCTTTGTGCTGCTATGGAAATACTTCGGGAGATCCAGAATGATTTCTTGCAGAAGACGCTCACTATTGCATCAACAGGAAAATGTTCTGCGCTATTCTTTTTGGAGAGAGAAGAAGGAAAATGTACTATTCCAGTCGTCCACTTACAGGAAGCTCTGGAGAAAGAAATTATCCAGTATCAATGGACAGATGAAATTTTAAGGCATTCTCAACGTAACACCGAGTACGGCCATGGCAGGGAGATCTTTTTTGATCTTGCAAAGATTGAAAAAGAGATGGCAGTCAGATTTTTGGTGGGAAAGTCTTACCTTTCAACTCTCGAAGGATTACAAGAGTTCATTTTCGCCCGAGAGCTCTTTCATACTTGTAGAGGTATTTTGGACGACTTACAAGAGCTGATTCCGCAGCAACCACTCACAGATGTGTTTCGAAGTAGTCTGTCCAGGCAGTGTGAGCAGAGTCTGAAGAACGTACAAGATTTGCTTGAGCACATGGAAATTGTCCTTTGCCTGTTAAAAAGACATCGTGTTGGGAAACCAGAGGATCCTTTGACAGAATTCACAGACAACTGGCTGCGTGGACCAAGGCCGTTTCCAAAGGATCTACTCCCTCAGCCCCACAGCGCCATCCAGCTCACACATGTAGTTGCCTTGTACGAGTTTCTCGAAGACATGTTGGCTGAACCGGCTGCCAAACGAGTTCACGACATGTATCGTGTACGCATACCTGAAGAGATAGCTAACGAAATGACCAAGGGAACCCCCGCGTCTGGAACGACCGAGTCACATCATTCTGTTATAAATGCCATCAATGTAGCGCTCAAACGCTTCATTTACCGTTACCTTTCTTCTGAGGAAATGAAACCTGAACCAGCTGACAGTCTGAAGGAGCGCATGCAGGAGAGGTCACTTTGGCCAATTGATGCATTCAAGTCGTGGAACCTGAAAGTGGAATCTCCAGCAAAATTCATCGGTGACATGTTTCCCGAGAAGCTGGCCATAAAACATACGTACCAAGTTTTATGCTTTTACCAGGATCGACTTAAAGTAAGTGATGAAAAATGTACTTGTCATTAATTTTACAATAATTCTGCCCTCAACACAAAAAGCAGTAATTCCCTGAAAAATCCACTCCCCCGCCCCCACTCCAAAAAAAAAAAAAGAAGAAGAAGAAGAAGAAGAACTTTATCTTACCTTTTTCCACTGCCGAGACCCTAGTTTCTTTCAACCCTGACAATATGTCAAAGAGTTTTTCCTTGGGTTTAGCATCTCTTATCCTTGTTTTAGGTCACATATAGTATCATGCGACTTTTTGTTGCCTGTGACCCCTCCACCCCTCCCTCTTCCAGATGGAAAACAAGTGTGTATGAATTGTCTAGGTAAACAAACGGGCAAATACTTTGTTTATTGGCAATCTTGGCCTATTTGAAAAATTTTGTATCTTAAGGTGGCTCGATACAGTTTTTCAGGGTCAATACCCCCCAAGTTTGAGCATAAACTACGTCGCCATAAACAAAGTTTTGGAAAAATTGCCACCACAGTTGTATTTGATGAAGATGAAAATTTGTTATGATCAGGGTTGCAACGGCCTCAGAGTTGTCATAGCAACGAAATGACGCTATTACCTATTTTACTTGCAGCAGTATATCTCGGCACTGGGAACTGTTCTTCGAAAATCATTCACGGGAGCTTTTTCCTCCAATAGCAGCCTCGATGTTCGTGAAGTTTAAGCGAAATCTGTAAGAGCGTTATCGAGATATTTTGGGATAAAGATTTTGTCGTTAGAAATATTGTAAAAAATGGACAACCTTGGTGTTTGGCTGTTATCTTTAGAAAACGAAGCGCTTTTGACATGCAATCTCACCTCATAGTAGTTTCAATCTTTTTAAAAACGTGTGTGAAAGATCAAGGAGATAGCTCCAGCCGTTTGCTAGAAAGAAGGATTTGATTACTATGTATCGAGGCGCTCTTGTCAGCGGTTTTTGGAACATTTTGGTCTACTTTAACAAATTAGCGAATAATTTCTAAACCGCTCGATAGATTTTTGTTAAGTTTAAGATTCTTGAGATTAACTTTCCTTTTATATGACCTTTTAGTTTCAAGGTTATTGATATGTTGTAAGGCAGTAAAATAAGGGCTACAATTCGCTAATATTTTGGCCGAAATTTTGTGTTTACAAGTGTGAGCCTCTCATTATTCAGGGTATTGTGTCCAAGTGTCATATTTTCGTGCACAACAAAAGCTAGCGTTTTTGCATATTTCAAATGCATTGTTAGTTACTGCTGTTCACGTGAAAATGAAACTTGGAGACAATACCTTGAATAATTAGAGGCTTTCACTTGTAATGACGAAACTTCCGATAAAAAATAACGAATTATAGCCCTTATTTTACTGCCTTACAACATATCAATAATCTTGAAACTAAAAGGTCATATAAAAGGAAGGTTAATCTCAAGAATCTTAAATTTTTAAAAAAATCTATCGAGCGGTTTAAAAATTATTCGCTAATTTGTTAAAGAAGACCAAAATGTTTACAAAACCGCTAACAAGAGCGCTTCAATACATACTAATCAAACCCTTCTTTCTAGCAATCGGCTTGAGCTATCTCCCATGATCTTTCACACACGCTTTTAAAAAGATTGAAAATACTATGAGGTGAAATTGTGTGTCAAAAGTGCTTCATTTTCTAGAGATAACGGCCAAACAACAATATTGTCCATTTTTTACTGTGTATTTAACAGTAAAAACATTATCGCAAAATATCTCGATAACGCTCTTACAGATTTCGCTTAAACTTCACGAACATCGAGGCTGCTATTGGAGGAAAAAGCTCCCGTAAATGATTTTCGAAGAACAGTTCCCAGTGCCGAGATATACTGCTGCAAGTAAAGTGGGCAATAGCGTCATTTCGTTGCTATGACAACTCCGATGCCGCTGCAACACTGATCATAACAAATTTTCATCTTTATCTAATACAACTGTGGTGGCAATTTTTCCAAAACTTTGTTTTTGGCGACGTAGTTTATGCTCAAACTTGGCAGGTATTGACCCTGAAAAACTGTATCGAGCCACCTTAACTGCACGTGACGTTCCTCTTTTCAACACTTCATGAAAACAAATTCAACGCAGTTAAGCAGAAGAAGCATCTCCCTCACAGTCTTTACATTCAAATTTGACATTTTTAGTTGTCAAATTTCAATTTTAGATTTCAGTCTTTAAAAAATGAAATCTTTCCAGTCTGATGATCGCCTAGTACTTGATACCCGAGTTACAATAAATTTTATCCTTAAAGTTGTATTGTATAGGCATGTATGTTCTATAAATTATGTTGTGTTCTTCACTTTGTTATTTGTTAGGTGTTAGAAGAGGCAAAACACGTTCCTTGGAATCCAGCTCTCAAGATAAGCCGTCCCAGTGTTTCAAGGTCCCGTCAGCTTAAAACTCGAAAGCGCTTCAGCAACATCTGAGGTGAACAGGAAATACTCTGTGCGTATTATGCACACAGATGAATCCAGTTTTAGGAGATCATCAAGTTTTACTGCAGAACTGGGGCGGATCTAGGGGTAGGTCAAGCCCTCCAAGCTGAAGCTTGCAAATATTACCTAAACCTAGTGAAAAGTACACCACGCAAACTATTTGGCAGACTCTGATTTCTGAGGGCTAATAATTAACAATTTCGCACGGGAGCATATCCCCGGATCCCCCTCAGTAGATATTCCAGCTTTCAGAGATTATTTTATCGAACCCCTTAAGAATAACAACTAGATCCGCTTCAGACATTAATTGCTTATCGTAAACTGTTTGTACTCGTTGACTATATTTTTGTAATGCATATTTTGTCACGGTTTTGTACGGATACCGTAAATCTTTTGAAAACTTCAGTCGCTCGAATCGGTACGCTTACACTTTCCCTTAATTGAGAACGTCACTCCGTCTTCATCCATCCCTCCGCAACCACTCGGCCTTTGTACGAGTACATTTCGCAAAAATGATCCTTCCGTTTCTGAACCAGTAGTCGCACTCGTTTGAGCAAGGTCGTTTAAATAAGACCAATCAATTTTTTTTATGTGAAGATATGGAAAAAACTACATAATCGACTTCACCTGCCTGTGTAAGACTGTTTACAGCGTGTCTATTTCCCCAATGCACATGAAGGTGGGAGACCCCAGATAGGTGAGGTAACCCGCTTAGGTTGGGTAAAAAAATAACCCTCCTTTACATGCAATCTTACAACCCCGCCATCCCGGGGTACAGTTTCTCAAGATTACTGAATGGTCGCTAAGCACGTAAGAAAAATGCTGGCAAACCACGTTTTTTGGTGATTAATGCTTTACTACACTCACTTGCTGCTCTTGCTGCAACCTTCAGTGCTGTGGCTTTCTATTGTTACCTTTAATAATGATGCAAAGCTACTGCCAAAGTGAATTTTACGCGAATTCAGTATCGCGAATCCGTCCTCGACTAGGCGGGTTACCCCACCTTGAAACGTTTACGTGGCAAAATTTGACCCCGGCTGAGAGGGTTACCCGGTCCAGGGTAACCCTGGCTTCGCGGGTCACCCCACCTATCATGTAAACGTGATCAAATTAAAATGAGAGATTATATGGACAGGCGGGTTACCCCACCTAAGCGGGTTACCTCACCAAACTGGGGTCCCCCACCTCCATGTAAACAGGCCCCAAGAATTAACGCAACAAAAAGGCGAGGGAGGCAACGCGCGACCAGGAAGACTTTCGGGCCTTCGTAAAAATGCAAAAATATAGAGAAATTTTAGGGCGCTTATTCGATGATTCACGGTAGTAGGAATAATAAGGGTTGCTTTGTATAAATACTTTTCGCTTTTTTTAATCGGGTAGCAACTGATATGCTTCTGCCTGATTCATTTGCTCATCTTTTTTGGGTGATGTTGTTTGCTATTATTGTTTTAGTAAAACAAGAACGACCCTCTTTGCGTCCACTTTCCACTTGCAAGTCTTCTTTGATTTCTCGTGATCTTTTCCCCTTTCACCCCGAGATCTTGAAAAGTCAAAAGTGCCATGAGCAGGCTTCATTTGGTCAGTAAGACGTCGATGTAGATGTATTACATGTATTATGTCCATCCCAGTATAGCTGGAAATTGTAAAACTGTCATCCTGCGAGAGCAGAGTCGGCGGGATGCCTTATGAATCATCTACAATTGAAGATTTTAGAAGGCGAGAGAGAGAGAATTCCCTTAAGCTCCAGTAAAATTGGCACCGAAAACGTGCAACTTGTTTTGCAACATTGCTACAAAACGAGTTGAATAACGATGTTGCGCCTTTTTACCACCCACGGAAACAAACATTACAAAACAAGTTGCACGTCTTTTGTCGCCTGTTTTACCGTACCTTTACTAGGGTGCGTGATCGCGCAAAGCATTTTTTAGGGAACAAGTAGCAGTAAGAACTAGTAGATTTCGTATTGGCAAATTTACCTTTTTTGAAGCGTTCAAAACCGTTTTTTCAGTTGTGTTACGAGACAAAATGTAGTCTTTTCATAGTTAGAAGAGGAGAATGGTTATGAAAGACGGCAAACATCAAAGATAAAACAACAGTGCTGTAGCTTATGTTGGAAGCTCCCCGACGGTGCATGGTCTTCCTTTTTTGTTCATAAATTGTGACGGAATACATTAATGCCACGTTTTTATCTGTCAAGAAGATCAGAATGATAGGAATGCTAGTGAGCGTTTCATACCTTCAAGTCCACCACAAAAATATATAACAAAGGAGTTTGATGATCTTCGTAACCATTCCACCTTACTATCTGTAGTCGTACCTTGTAAATGGCGTAAAGTTATCGGTCGTTTTCACTACCAACAGGATTTGTAGCCGATATTTAAGTACGATGTACGCCAACAATATACATGTTACTATTAATCATTGAGTGAAATTTTAGTGTTAGCCTTACGTTAATTGTTGAGCATTTGCAAATCCTTCTTTATGGTTGGCTATGCACATTATTCCAGAATGGTGGCAAATCATTCTTTTGTTTTCATTACATTTTATCGTCAATGTCTTGTTTCAGCGTAAGGTTCTTTTGAATTTAGCAGATAAAATAAT